CCCCCCCCCCCTATCTATCCAGCTTTTGGGGTGAGCACAAATAGTTATGCATGCTGGAATTTTGTGCATTCTTTGGCATCATTTTCCTTTGTTTCCTCTACATGTGTTACATGCCCCTAAATTTTACTCTTGACTTATTCATGGGTCACATCAAAATCCATAATTTTGGCCCCAAAAACTTGCCCTTGACTTAGACATGACACTGACTTATAGTCAAGTATATATGGTATTCAAAAGGTTCAGTGTTTCAAACTTAATGGTGAATATAAAGTATGTCTGTAAGGAATTGAGGCTTTATCCTTTCTATACTCTGCTTGTCTGTTCTCACTTCTTCTGGCATCAGATGGGACCTTTGGGGGCTGTAATTCTACAAAGTAGCTGCCAGGTAAAGTGTAGGGAAGCACATATGATAATAATGTTGTTGAAGAGCAAAAGGCACAAAGTGACTGAATATTCAAGGGACAAACTGCTCTGGCCCACTATTTTTTATGTCATGTTAGGGGGAAAACTGTAAAATATAACAAGTGATGTTTTTTTCCCCAAAAAGTATATTTCTAGTGGGAAAACATTGAAGGAAGTGTCAGACTGAGTACTTTAAAATTAAAAGTGGTGGCAGCAGTGCAAAGATGACACAGTATTTTAACAGTTCTCAGAGCACAACATAATTTTGGAGGAGCACTGTTATTTATTTGTATTTTTAACCAAGGCATCTATTTACCTAAAAGCTCATTTACAATTATAAAATAGTCCAAGTATGAAATAATTCACAGTACCTGGTTTTAGTGTCTTAACAGCCACTGGAGTAGTATTATTCCATAAACCTTCCCAGACCTCGCCAAATTGGCCAGAGCCTAGTTTTTTCAAGAGTTGCAGGGAATTTCGGTCTATCTCCCACTGATCAACAGTCTGGTATGACAGGTCATAAGGCTCTGGGACTTCTATCTGAGTAGGAATAAAACAACAACATGCATAAACTCTGTGTTTATGTAAGAACTACTCATCACACACCAAGATGTCAATTCTTTATAGCTTTATTAAGAGACAGTGGGCTACAGAGAAACTGTGGCCAGTGAACAAGGGTCTCATGAGGAAACTTTCACGAAGGTCTCACCAGGCATTTTCAGCTCTGAAGACAGCATAGCACCTTCCTGAAGGCTCCATACTATTGAAGCAGTATGGAACAGTTGCTTCACATTGTAGACTCTAGAGGGGAGTTTCATTATAATTTGTGCCTTTGAATTTTGGTTTAATATGGCAAGAAAGATACAGAGTGTAGAGAGTGACTGACAGGCATAAAATGTTTGATGAAGAGTGAATTTGCCAGTGGATGGTGTTTAGATGAAAGAGTGAGAAGTGGGATGTTTAGTTTGGAGTGATGTGGTGTATCGGTGGATGAGAGACCCAGGGCTTGTCTACTCCAAATTCTGGCTCAGGTTGACCATGTGGTGTTTACGCCATGCAGCCCTAAAACTCTGAATCAGGCTTTCCACCCCTTGTTCTGCATAAAAAAGACTTAACCTTTGCTCCAGGATTTCCAGAAAACCTGGAGCAAAATGGACCTTCAGCATTCCTGCTGAGTTGCTTTGTGGCTGTGGCTAGCTCTAAGGCCAGAACAAGGGCTTCTTGTTCTGACCTCAAAGCGACTTGCACCCACAAAAGTGGCACTCGCTAGATCATAGGGACCACAGCCACCATTGCCTTCAGCAGTTAAGGGGGACAGGAATTGGGAGGAATGCAGGGGCTAGAATACTTCAGGGCAGCCAGTTTTGTTTGGGATTTGTGAGGGGAGAGAGTGAAGAGGCAGACTGTACTTAAGGAGTTTATCACATTGGCTTTGCTCCTGTGATAGACACGAGATGAAACTAAGAAAGTAGATCTTACCGTATTTCCCTCTTGCCAGGGAGTATGCAGCCCGTTTGCAACCTGGGCTTCTCCAGGCTCCTCCTGCATCTTTTCAAGAATGGGATTTTCTTGAAAAGATGCAGCAGAAGCCCTCCACATCTCCAGATGACTTGTGGAGGGGGGGGCATTTAAAAAAAATATCCTTGGGGCCCCAGAGGGCCACAAAATCTGTCTTAGGGATCAGACATGTCCCATGGGCTGCACTTTGCCCACCCCTCATTTAAGACATGGGCAGAACTGTTGTGGTTCCCATGCCACTGAGATAATGTAAGAATCCAGCTATGTACTAATAGATAAAAATCTATCCTATTCAAAAACTCAAGAGCAGCACAGTGATTAAATACATACTTTCTACAGAAATCAAAGAAAAGCATAAAAGTAATAGTGTATACAATCAGTACCTGTTGTTGTTGTTGTTATTATTATTATTATTATTCTGTTTATATACATTTTCTGTGCTTTTTCACTGATATCCTTTCTTGGGGAGAAATACATTACAAGATTATGGTTTTAAAAAACCTTGGAAATTGTTTTGTTTTGCTTGTACAAAAAGATACATATCTCCTCATTCCTATGCACATACACTTAATGACATTGAATGATGTGCCTTTATTTGCCTTTGCAGCAGGTTCATGTGTGATATTTTTGGTCTGTAGATAAACTGAAGACAAATTGGAATGGGTTCAGAGGAAGGCTATGAAAATGAAAACAAGGTATGAAAAACAAATCCTAAGAAGAACAGAAGAAACAACTAGTTACATTTGGTTGGAAGTAGAGAAAAGGTGTCAGACTAGAACCCTTCAAGATATCTGCAGAGCTATCCCATATAACTGCCAGAATTCACAGAGATAAAATAAGGTGTCACCACTATGCAGATGACAACTAGCTCTATTTCATATTTTTGTCTAATACAAGTGAGTAGCTGAAATCCTCAACCAGTGATTTGACTTAATGAAGCCCAGTACATTAAGAGTTTATCTACACTACACAGTTATAACCATGTGATACCACTTTCACTGCCATCACTTCATCCTATGGAATCCTGGGATTTGTAGTTTTGTGAGTTATCTTGACTTCTTTGCTAGAGAGTTATACTGAACTCCCCTTTACTCCAGCACTAGAGCTCTGTGACAAAAGATATTAACCAAAATACAAATGCCAGGATCCTCTAGAATGATGCCATTGTGGTTAAAGGTGTATCAAACTGCTAGTACTGCACAGTGTAGACACATTCTAAAACTCTGTCTATACAAGATGGAGACACTGTTGTGAATGGTACATCATGTCAGTATTCTCCCTAAATGGCCTTGGGTGTAGCTTGGATATGCTCTAAGATCCATAATTGTCCATAGAGTCATAGGCATTTTGTCCAACTTGGAGTTATTTTTATAAACTTCGGTAACATCAACTGTGACACTACCTGGACACAGATAACCTGTAGCAGTCACACATCTCATTCAAATTAATTCTGTTTGAATTATTGAGATGAGTTATATCTAGAGCTGCTTTGGAAATCATCCAGAAACTTCCATTAGCTCACAATATGAAGTCAGACTATTAGCACAGACTGGCCAATATAACTACATGACAAAATACTTTGCCACCTACATTGCCATTTGTCAACCAAATGCAACATGTTGTTTTAACTTTTAAAACCCTGAAGGGCTTGGATCCAAAGCACTTACTTACTCTGACCATCAGTCAGGTCATCAGTCAAAAGAGGCTGTCCTCCTGGTGTCCCACTAAATGAAGAGAGCAGAGCACCTACAACAAAGGGCCTTCTCAGCAGTGGGGTCCTATATGTTGAATCTCAACCAGAGGGCCTCCTGGCTTGTTGTTGCATGCCCCCAAGTCATTTCCAACTTATGGTGACTCTAATGTGAACCTATCATGAGGTTTTCTTGGCAAGAATTGTTTAGAGGTTGTTGTTTTTTCCTTTGGCTTCCTCTGAGGATCAGAGAGCAAGACTAGCCCAAGATCACCCAATGGGTTTCCATGGCCAATCAGGGATTTGCATCCTGGTCTCCAGAGTCAAAGTTCAATACTCAAACCACTAAACCACACTGGCATATTCAGTACCATGTGAAGATCATTTCATTTCCCCAGGCATTTTAGGATGTGTGTGTGTGTGTGTGCGTGCTTTTAGACTTTAGTCTCCTTCCTCCCGCACCCCCTGGTTCTTTATGACACAAACATATCTGGTGTTCTTTCATACTATACAATGGAGATTATCACAGACAGGACAGAACAGGGATGGGATCACTCCCCCATCCTTATCCCATCCATGACCCAAGTGAAAGTGAATGTGTATATCACTTTCACACTGCAGCTGGCTGAAAAACACTTTCAGTGGTTGACTGAAAGCACTTTCAGCCATCATGGTATGAATGGGTTAAGCTGTTAATACAAAAGACTGCAAATGATAGATGAAAATGCTTTTAGCTGATGACTGAAAGCCCTTTTCAGCCAACTGCAGTGTGAAAATGATTTCTACAATCACTTTCACTCGTTCCTTCCCTGCTGGGTCACATGCGGGTTAAGTGTGAAAGTCCTTCCTGCAGTTGGACAGGAAGAATGGGACAGGGATGGGACAATGTGTCTTATCCCTAATGTGATAATCTCCAATGATAATAATGATAATAATAAAATTTATTTTTATCCTGCCCCTCTGTGTTATGCAACCAGGGCGGCTTACAACATTAAAATGATTCCACTTTAACTGCCATGGAATCCTGATGTTGTAGTTTAGTCAGAGGCACTAGAGGAGCCTTCTGGCTGAAAGTCTAAATATATTTCTCCCCTAAATTGCAAGAACCAGGATTCCATAGTATGTTGCCATGGCAATTGAGGTATAATCATAGTGCCATGACAGTGCAATGTGAAAGTGATTCAAATGTGTGCACTACTGTTGGCCAATAGACAGCATGCAGCCCCTAGAACATTTTGTAGCCCTCACAATCCTTTCTCTCAGGGTTACCAGATATCCTCCTTTTCCAGGAGATGACCTACATGTCAACCTCCTGTCCAAGAGGTATTTGAAATTGTCCTCCCTTTTAAGCATGACAAAGAAGCATGAATTTATATTTATGTTAGTGTTTTTAGCTTTTATTTTGTAAATGTCCTACATTTTTCTTGAATGTCCTACATTTTGTGGTGCCTTGTTCTCCTTTGTGGTTATGACATCTGGTCACCCTGCCTTCTACTGATACTTAACTGTGTCCTCAAATTAATCCACTACCATTAAAACTTACATGTTCAGAAGCATCAAAAAGAGAGGCCTTTCCCAACTTCCCTTCTTTCCTGGAAGGGGAGTAGTGTTTTTGCCCTGCTCTATGGTTTTGAGGGCTCTATGGTCAAGAAGTATGCTCTGGAACTTTTCTGCATTACACAAACTGCCATAGTTACTGTCAAACTTAGGGCCTCAGCAGACAGCTAATTGAGCCCTCTTCCGGGCCCGGAAGAGGAGGGGCAGCCGCACGAGCAGCGCCCCTTCCTCTTCCTGAGGTCGCCCTCGGAGTCGCCGGCCGTTCGCACGGCCGGCGCTCCGGGGATGACCTCACACAGCGGCGACCAGATGCGCCGCGGCGTTTGAGTCAGGGAAAGTGCGCCCGCCGCTTTTAGGGCGCACTTTCCCTGACATCTAAAAGGAGCACCAATTTGGAGCTCCTTTTAGAGTCGCCGAAGGAGCGCAGCGGTGCGGAGGCTGAGCTCCGCCAGCGCTCCGACCCGCGGCAACTGGGAAGCAGTCGTCTGCTTCCCCCCTTAGATAGCAATTATATCAGTAGAGGTCTTGGTAGTGGAGACAGAAGCACTGGGAGAAGTTCAGTGTAACTTATCCCAGGGGTGTAACTACAGTGGGGAGGGCAAAACGAGGGCATTGTGCCCCCACAAATAAAAATTCTGCCACCCAATGAAATTGCCCAAATTTCTAGTACTGCAGAAAACTGCTTACATTTAGAACTCTTATATTTGCTGTGTTTGCAGTCCCTTGGTAAAAAAGCTGCCCCTTTGAAACTATTTCTTAATAAAGAAAATAATGAAAAATAACATGAGATAGCTGAAGTTGAAAAAGAAATGATAAAGAGGGGAGAAATATAAGATTATATTGAAGGTTGCAGTAGAATGATATGGAAAATAGGTCAATAAGATAGTGGATTCAAGAGAAAGAATAGGATTAATTATATAATAGAAACAATAGGGAGAAAGATTAGTAGTAAAGAAGATTACTAAACTGTTATTAAGAAGGACACAGAATGGTGTAATGAATAGAAAGAAATCAGAGGTAAGGAAGTTATGAGTGATAAAAAGGAGTGAGAGGTGAGTAAGGAGGATATAGATTGTAGATGAGGGTATGAGTATGTTGATGGAAGGTTTGTGTGAATAGAAGAGTGGGAGAGAGGAGGGAGAGGTGTAGATGGGGAGGTAGAGAGGAGAAGGATGAGAAGGAGAAAAGGAATGAAATGGAAGAAGATGGGAGGAAGAAGGAAGAAGGAAAGAAAGGGGGAGTAAAAGATGTATTTGGTGGGAAAAGAATGTACACGAGTGTAAGATGATATGTTTTATTGACTGATTTATTGATTGTATGGCAATTTGATGTTTTGTACAATAAAGGTTAATAAAAAAAGAAAAAAAGAAACTACTGTATTCCTTAATGATCAACTCAGGTTTTATACTACCACAATGCAATATTTGCCCAAAATACCACAACTTTTTTTTTAATTGGTATGCCATCTCTGAGAATGAAATGATGGAGTCATGTATGAGTTCCTAAAATAATAATTGCAGGCAGTAAGAGGTTTAAATGCTTATCAACTGAAAACCTAAAAAGGGTCTTTCTATTTTGAAAGGGAAGAAAAATGTCCTAAATAATCCATACCTTTATACATGGCTTCCCAAGCTTTACACACAGCCCATCACTGGAAGTACTATAGTGTCTGACAAAATCATTCAAAGTTCGGAAAGGTGTCCTTCTGGTCACAAAAAAGCTGCCATTATCCATCCGTTTGATTCGGTAGTGCTTCACAGTTGTACCATCCCGTACTAGGAAATGAAGTAAGAAAGGAATTTCAGGCACATAAAGGTATCATGTAGAGAGGCATCCAATCAAGCATGCTGTGGCTCAGTTCTAGGAACGGAATGCTAAGGCTGCATGTGCACTGCACAATTAATGGAATTTGATGTCTCAGTGCTGTGGAATTCTGGGATTTGCAGTTTTATGAGATATTTGGCCTTCTCTGGTGCCACAACAAACTACAAATCTCAGACTTCCACGAAGCCATGACAGTTAAAGCAGTCTCAGTCTGCATTAATTCTGCAGTGTGGCAGCAGCCTAAGGAATTCAGTGGCTTATGGTATAATTTCAGATACAGGTCCCACAGCTTGTAGCCTCACTATCAGCATGATTGCAGCTATCCACTTTCCTTCATTGAGAACTACTGGCTGTGATTACCACAACACAATTTTGACATAGGAGAGCAGCTGAGTACTTCTGGATGAGATACTTTGGGTTTGGGCCTTTTCACACTGTGCAATTATAATACTATCATTCCCCTTTAACTGCATGCTTCCAACCCATGAAATCCTGGGGTTTGCAGTTAAGGGAAGGCATTTAGAATTCTCAGCCAGAGAGCTCTAGTATCCCACCAAACTGGAAATCTCAGGATTCTATAGGGTGTAGCTATGGCAGTTAAAGTGTAATCATAATGCTAAAAGGAGAGACAAGTTTGGATGTCGAATATTTGAAGATGGTCAAAAGAAGATACAAGGTTAGATTACCAATGTTTGAAAAAGAAGAAAATCCCTTTTGTGGTTGGGAGAGAGTGGGCTTCTAAATTAATTTACTATATTGTGAGTGTGAAGTATATTGCTCATACGAACCCGTCAAAGTCCTAAAATCTGCAGGGGAAGGCTTTCTCTCAATCCCACCACCATTACAGGTTTGTTTGGTCAGGACACGAGAGACTTCTCAGTGACTAAGCCCTATTCATTTATCTTTCATCTATGTGTGGAAGGGATGGTTTTATCCCTGCCTTTCACCTCAGTGCTCTGGGAAGAATGGACAGAAAATGCTGAAGCCATGAAGGTTCAGGACACATGAATGTCCATTGTTTAGAGATCATTTACCAGGCTCCAGGAATACCAGGCATACCAGGAAATGGAAGTTTCCATTAATGAAAAGTGATGGGACAATTCCACTTCATTGATGGGATAATGACAGTATAAGCGTGACATGTATGACAATCTTTGTGCAATCGCACAATAAGGAGGGGATAAGGATGGGAGCAATCCACTTCACTTCCATCCTTTTTTCGTGTGTGATAATCTCATAAATCCTGTGTCTCAGGACCTATACACTTTGGCCAGATACCTTTGGGGGCTCTGTATTTTGTTGATACAGCATTGTTTTCAGCATATGGTGTCCCTAAGGTGACATTATCACATGGTTTTCTCGGCAAGATTTGCTCAGAGAGGGGTTGCCAATTCCTTCCTCTGAGGCTAAGAGAGAATGGCTTGTCTAAGATCACCCACTGAGTTTTCATGGTTGACCAGGGATTCAGATCCTGGTCTTCCATAGTCCTATTCAAGCCATTACACTACATTGGTTTACCACACTATGCTAGTATAAAAATTATTACATGACTAATTGCCCTTTTTCACAAGTTGATCTGGTGGGTAGGAAGCTAATCAACTTATTTGTACATAATGCCAGTCATATTGGTTGCACAACTGTGGTATCCACCACAGCTATAATGACATATATTTACACTATGTTAAGAAATATACAGGATCTTGGTTTTATAGTTATGCTTGTGTGGAGCATTTCTTATTTTTTCATAGACTGTAGGCCTGCCAGTGTATCATAGTGGTTTAAGCACTGGACTAGGATTCTGGTAGACCAGGGTTCAAATCCCAGCTCAGCCAAGAAAACCCACTATGTGACCTTGGGCAAATCACACTCTCTCAGCCACAGAGAATGGCACTGGGAACCCCCCCCCCATGAAACTTGTCAAAAAAAAAAAAAGCCTATGATAGGTTCTCCTTATGGTTGCCATAAGTCAAAAATGACTTGCAGGTACACAACAAGAAGAATAGATTGTAGGGGACATTGATAAGTTTGAATAAAAACTACCCATTCTAGCAGTCTGCCTAAGCCCCAGCCACATAGATATAACAGAAAGGTTATTTGCTATTTGACCCTAGCATCAAGCTGACATTTCTCATGTTGCTTCTAAATATAGAGGTTCTGTTTTGATTTACTGTGAATAAGAACTATCCTGCTTGTGATTTGTAAAAATCTAAATCTAAGTCTGGTGAATGATTTCCTGTGGGATCCTCACAGTAGTCAGGTTTTTATTTCCTTCTGTGCCATTATATATCCCTTGCAAACAGTACCTCATTGTACCTGATAATAACCTATTTTTATTTAGTCACAGTAGAATAACAGAAGAAAGAGAAGGAGAAGAAGAAGGAGAGAGAGAGAGAGATTCACTCATCTCCTGCCTGGGAACCAAAATGTTAAAGTTCTGCACTTAAAAATAATATAGGCTGGAATCCTATAGGATCTACAGATGTGTAAGCACCGTAGTTAAGGTGTTATGCAATGAATCCAGAAGCAACTGCTGCGATGGATGGGGGGTCTGTTCTCATGATGCTTGGGAAGCTACTGGCTACAGTTTAAACCCTCTCCAGCAATATCCAATACAACAGGCAGAAACATGACCCCTGTCACAAGTCCTCCTCATGCCAGGGAATGCTTACATAAAGGGAGGGTTGCAGGGACCATCAACCAGCTGCTTACTGATCAACAGGGGAACAAGGGACTTGTCGATTGCAGTGCTGCTGCCCAATAAGTTGCAATTGGGGGACTTTCATGGTCACAACATTGCTCCTAAACTAGGTGTACCATAGAGATCATGAATACAAAAGAGTCATAAGTGTGTAATTCTAGGTTACGTATTTGCAACCACCATGGAGGATTCTGGCCTTAATTCATAATGACAAGATGACAGTGATTGCATATGAATGTTCCAGATGGAAAGTAGAAGGCAAGAGTGGGTACAAACCATGGAGGCTGTAGTTTACAAAGTTAATACATATTGAGTTTTTCACCACCAGCAATCATACATAACACTACATTCCATGAACAGACATTTATCAAAAAATGGCATTACTTTTAGAATGTTCTTTTTTGTCTACTGCCACTAGAGGGTGTATACATGGCATTACAGTACTGTATTTTAGATTTCCCAAATCTTTAACTATGCACTATGTTTGAATAAATGTGTGCATATGTGTGCACCTGTATGTGAAGATAAAGGGAAATGTTTGCCCCTCTTGTAGATATAAAATCTTTTCCAAGTATCTAATAATACAACAAAAGACAAGATAACGATTAAGAATAAATCGTTTCATCCGTACAAGACATTTGGTGGAATGAGAGGGTCTGGGGATGTGTGCTGTACAGGTATGCATAGAAAGCTGCATTCTGCCACAGAGATATATTCATTCCACAAACCTGACTTTTCAGAATATCAAGATAACCATTCACAGTACATTATGATAAGGCTGATATCAAAGAGAGGGGCAGACATTGCAAACCGAAATGTTTTATTTACTGATACTAGCTTTTATTGATTTATTTTCTTTATTTATTCAGAAGTTTATAAGTTAGATGTCTAATAGATGTGTACCACCCACAGTGGAATACAACAATAATAAAAACATAGAATTACAAATTTGGAAGACATGCAAAGGCAATCTGGTCCAATTACTTGCCACACAGGAATCCTCCTGCTATGAGGGAAAATACCACAATTCAGAATCAAATATAAAAACCAAACTTTTTTTTAAGTCTCTACAGATAACTAAGGGGGGTTGCAGACTGCCAGAAATAGTGCAAATTGAGTCCACTTTTAGGGCTAGGGTTAGGGTTAGGGAATCATGGGAACTGTATTTTATTGTGGCACCAGAGCTCTCTGACAGAGAAGGCTCAATGTCTCAGAAAAAAAATTCCCATGATTCCCTAGCACTAACCCTAACCCTAAAAGTGGACTCAATTTGCAATATTTCTGGCAGTCTGCAACCCCCCTAACTCTAACCGTGGTTCACCATATGGGGAAAAATAATGGAATAAAATACATTAAACCCCAAGAGCTGAGTTATTCAATATGCTTAGCCCACTACTAAGGAACAGGGACATGAAAATACCGATGCCTTGATGCTGTTGCCTTTCTCCAAACTTGCCATTTACTTTCATTTTGTAGTAGGTTGTGATAAGTTGTTTTTCCTACTTTCATGGAAATTCACACATATTTTGGAATGCTCTTTTCTTGTAATATTTTCAGTGCATTTCCTACACATTTTGTTCATAAATACTTTTATACAGTGTTTTTGCACTGACCAAAGTGAATTTACATTTTTCAAACATAGGCGTTTTGAAGTGAATGCATTTAGATGAATTGAGTGTATTTATTTATGCATATTTTTAAAGGGGGGGATTTTCCCACTTGTGGTTCCTTTGCAATGATGTAAAAGCTAAAGATATGAGAATGATTTTGTTAATAGTCTTGTGTCCATGAACTGGGGGAAAATGTAGAAAAATAACTGCTTAATATAATTTATTTTCCATTCCTATAAGAAAGCCCTTTCTTTTGTTCCCACCATATTATACCTTATCCAGAACACAGACTCTGGGTGCATCTACACTGTAGAAATAATGCAGTTTGACACCACTTTCACTGCCATAGCTACATCCTACAGAACCCTGGGATTTTGTGAGACACCAGCATGCTTTGATAGAGAAGGCTAAAGACCTTGTAAAACTACAAGTGCCAGGATTCCACAGAATGAAGCTACAGCAAAAGCAGCTTCAAAGCTATGGGGTGTCTAAGCAGTTTACAACTGTAAGCTCATTGCCCCCCAACACTTGGGTATCCATTTTAGCGACCTCAGAAGGATGCAGGCCTGAGTCTAGCCTGAGCCCTGGCTAGTAATGAACTCGCAACCTTGTGGTCTATGAGTGAGTGGCTGCAGTACAGGCATTTAACCACTGCGCCACAGAACTCAAAGGGGTGTCAAACTGCATTCAGACTGCAGAAATAATCCAGTTTGACACCACATTAACTGCCACAGTTCAATGCTATGGAAATCTGGAAATTGTAGTTTGTTCTGGGCTCTCTGACAGAGAAGGCTAAAGGTCTCACAAAACTACAGTTCCCAGAATTTCATAGCATTGAACCATGGCAGTTAAAATGGTATCAAACTGGATTAACTCTGCAGTGCAGATGCAGCCTAAGTGCCTTCTCAAAAATACCTGGTTCCTAATTTACATATACATTTAAACAATTACGGTAAAAAGATTTTAAAAGTATATTGGGTAACTGGTATTTGTTGCCTATTTGAGGAAAGATTTTAAATGAACAAATACAGGAGAAATTAAATTAAAAAATATTAAATGTTGGCCAGAACAGAGGAAAGAGAGAAGTAACGATACCTGAAAGGGAGAATTCACTCTTTTGACTTTCACTTTCTCTAATTAGAAAAGCTCCTTCCTGGTTATCACGGTAGAGTAGTTGTTTCTCAGCATCTGCTCTTTTAATAGCTCCAAAAAACCATCTAAAACAGAATGAAATATGCAGAATTAATCAGTAATCTAACCCCCTGGTAAATATACAATAAAGCAGAGAAGCAGTTTGATAACAAACAGAATGATCTCATTAGTTGGCTGCTAAGGTTAAATTTGCCATTAAAAATGATATTACAACAACCAGTTTTATGGTATAATGTTCATTATCTGGGTAATTTTCCACAAGCTGAGGGCAAACCACAACTAAATTTACAGAGATATTTTAGAAATTAGGGACACTAAACCTATCTTAATTACAGAATATACTCGTGTTATTAAATATAATTGCAATTAAGAATTCTTAGAAATTTATTGCTTTCAATCTGTGCATACACCATCTATCCTTAGAGGGCAGCAGTTTAACCTCTGCTTATATGTCTATTCCTTTTGCCAAGGGTACTCATGCAGTTTAAAAAAACAAATATAAAATACTAGAGGAAGCAAAGGATAGTTCAGGGTTATTTGAAGTGGAGCAGCAAATTTCCCCTGCCTCTCCAAAGTGTCAAGATGCAAAGTGCAGAAATCCAGCCACTTTACTCTGGGACATGTATTCCATTAATAGATATCCCAGCCACCAAAAGATAACCCAACCTGCTTATCCTTGATTCTGCTACAGTTATTGTTTATTTATGTTACTATTTTAAGTGTTTTAAACTGGGAATTGTTTAATAGTATTGGGGGGATTGTGGGATATGGAATGTATATTTTAATGTTGTAAGCCGCTCTGGTTGCATTGCGCAGAGGGGTAGCATAAAAAATTGTTGTTGTTGTTGTTGTTACATATAAAATCCCTCAAGGATTTCTTGGGGCAGGGGGTGGGAGCCATAATAACAAATCAAATAACCAGCAATTTTCTGCTCTGTCTTGAAATGCCAAAACACCTTGAAATACCAAAACTTCTGCCAGAGGCAGTAACCACATACTGCCCAATTGAAAAGCTGATCCTGGGACGAGTAAACATAACATGTAAACAGGTAAACGTAATGCGTGAAAAATCTTTTTCAAATAAGAACAAAATACAAATGCAATTTACATTTCTTTCCAGGTATTCACCGTTGTTTGTCTACAGAGAGAGAGAGAGAACGACATACACACATATGGATTTTGACTTTTTCCTCTTTCATACATCTTTGACAAGGCTGAATGGTTCATGCAGCTTTGCCCTATTTTTAGAACACAATGTGAATTCCCATTCCATTCTCTCTGTCTTTCTTTCACTCTCTCATACACACACACAGAGACTGTTTCAATTGCTGGTACATCTAGTTCTTACACTGCCTACTTTGAGATGGAATGA